TTGTCAATAATAACTTGGAAGATGGAGTAGAAATTATGCTTATTAGGCTGCAGATGAAACCACATAAGGGGGACTACATTTTGGAGAGCAGGATTAGACTTCAAAATTATCTTGACAAATTGAAGAAATGGTCTGAAAGATGTAGTCTGTAATTCAATAACAATGAGTATAGAGTACCCACAAGAAAAAAAAATCAACTGCACAGGTAACATTTGTGCAGGCTAAATAGCAGTCCTGAACTAAATGCTATACAGTCCATTGGTCTCCATATTGTGTTCCATGAAACCCTGGGGTTCCACAATAGATCAGAGTTCCATAAAGAGATTAGGGGTAATGGTGGAGCAGGCTAGGAGGCAATGCACCACTACACTTGGGCTGGGTCACCTGGCTCTGCACTGATCTTTATGATAGGGGTAGGGGTTCCTCAGCGTAAGAAGCAATATGAAAGGAGTCTGTACATTTAGAAAGCTTGAAAGCCATTGTTTGAAAACAGACATTTGAAATCTACTGATATAGTAGATCACAACTGGAACTAGTCAGTAATGTCATACTACTGCAAACTGCTGTTGCAAACTTTCACTCCACGTGGCAATGGATTACAATATCTAGTTTTCAGGACTACTCTTCAAGAATTATGTGGATCAAATGTGGAATCCAGGAAAAAAAAAACCCAAAATAATGGAAAGGATTCTTTTTATTTGATTTGGAAAAGAGAAGAAAAGAGAAGACCAAGAGATAACAATAGTCATAAATGTAAAAAGATCTTAGAGAGAGGAGGTTATAAATGTCTCTCCATGAGCACTGGTGATAGGATAAAATTGCAGCAGGGAAGATTTAGGCTTTACACAAGGAGGAAAAAACAGCTTTCCTACTGTAGTGATATGTCAGCATTAGAATATAAACTTAGAAAGGTTGTATGCTCTCCATCAATGGAAGTTTTTAAAAGAAGACTGGGCAAATATTTATCAAGAATGGTATTGGCAGAGCAAATCCATCCCTGGGGCAAAAAGATGGATTAGATTAGAAACTATAATGTAGAGAAAATAAGTCCAATAGTTACAGTATATTAAACTGAATGAAAATAATGTATAACAGATTTGCACATATTGGTTAATATTTTAAATATTAATTAAACAGGCAATATCTAGACATGCCTAATAAATTAGAATACTAATCTTAGCTGGTTTATTGTGATTGAGTTGACACAATTTTCCAGAACAAAGTAAAACACTTACCAGTCTAGTAATGGAAAGGACTTGGGCCACAAGTATGTATGAAAAACTATGGTTAATTTAATCTGAAATACATTAAGTTTAGTTTATCTAAAATAAA